ACTCCACCTCAAAAAGAAAAAGAAAAATACTTAAAAAAAAATTAACTGGGTGTGGTGGCGCATGCCTGTAATCCCAGCTACTCAGAAGGCTGAGGCAGTAGAATCGCTTGAACCTGGGAGGTGGAGGTTGCAGTGAGCTGAGATCTGGCCGTTGGTACTCCAGCCTCGGCGACAGAACAAGACTCTTTTTTTGGGGGGGGCGGGGTGGGGAGAATGGCTTTAACCTTTGATATTACATGCAGAAAGCTCTTGGAGATATATGAATTATTTTATTCATGGGTAGTTATATGCATTTTCTTTACAGAGGGGATCTGTTTAACCCTGGACTTTCTTGGCTGGGTAAAAAAAATCTTGAACATAAAAGTAATTTATGGACCTATTTTCCAGGCACTCATACCCAACTCCCTAACAACTTCCAGAGTGGCTGAAGGTAATTGTGCTGTTTCTGTTTTTACCTACCTCTCAACTCAGCTTGCCCCTGACTTCATTCTAATTTGGAGTTCTTTTTACTTTGTGGACTCAAAGGCCACCAAGGATGACTCCACACTCATATCTCCTAGCTTAGTACCACCAGTGGTAAGACAATGACTCTCAGTCCCCTATATGGGTCTTATAGACAACCATCACCACTTACTGAGACTAGGGTGTTGAGCCATTCTGGTTAATCAACCTGAGTCATCTTTGCACCCTGCCCCCAAACATTGATATTGACATTCTTAGAGAGCACATGGAGTGGGGCGGGGGAGTGCTCTAAAGGTACCAGGACAAGAGGGTTGGGAAGCACATGGAGCAGGTAAAGCTCTAGCAAACAGATTTCTATTGGGTTCACCATTTCCCAGATTTTCAAGGGATCTGTTTCCAAAAGGTCAAGAAAAGAGTTCTTAGGAGCAAGAGCTATATTGTGGACCTCCCAGTAGATTACATGAAACACTCTCTTGGCCTAACACAAGAAGGCAGAGTACTTGGTTTTTACACAGGAACCCATTTTTTTCATCTATACCAGTGTGCTTTGAATACTCCCTCTGCAATTTAAATGTACTTGTGATTTTAGTTTTTTCATTAGAAGACACATGGCGTTTGGGTTCACTTCATCTGCACAGCCTACTGAGAGGAAAATTGTCAATTTACTTGGAACAAGTAAAGACAATTCTGTTTTCTGTAAAATATAATTTGCAAACAATATGATTTTATCATGGCTGCCCTTCTGTGAATGTGCATTTCTGAATGACTGTCACAAATTTTATCAGTCTGAACTCAGATGAGTCCTAATCCAGAGAGATCTCAAATCCACACTCATTTGTTCTTGGCCTCGATCTCAGTGCCTGGGAATTCTTCGGTAGCAGTGCATGCACCACGGGTTTAATACATTTACAGCATTACATGAACACTCAACTTTTTTGTCTTTCTTTTTGGAATTAAAATAAATAATATTTTAGGCCATTCTAAAGTGGGGACTAATCTTTCCCAGGACTGATAGAAAACTTCTCTCCAGGAAAATAGAAATGAGACAATATTTTGTGCAGAGGGAGCCTCAAAGAGAAGAGCCAGCTTCCATTGCTCTTAATTGGGGAGTCTATTTTAATGTTCTATTGAGGCTCTTTTTGATGGTCCATTAGGGTCCATTAGGAAGGATATTACACTCCTGGGAGCTCTGTGTTGGAGGCTGAATGGGAAGAGCTGGCATGCTTGAGCAGCAAGGAAGAGAGGAACAGTGGGAAAAGAACCTGAAAGCCAGGCGTATTGGCTCCAGTGCTGGCCTGCCACTTTGTTTGAAGGAAGCAATGTTGTATCAATAGCCCACCAGCTGTCCAGTCCTTCAGGGAATCGAGTTCTACCACTGGGATAATTCTACCTGCTATTTCCTCAGGACAAATGCAAGATTCAGGGGACTTGTGGGCACCTAGGCGATTAAAGCTATGTTTCTCAACTTTGCGTCCAAATCCAAGCTTTTGGGCTTACGCTGAGCTGCAGTAATGGGGAAGGAATTTTACTATTCCATACACAATATTTTCAATTGAAAATTGCGGGGACTGAGCAATTGACTGTACAGGAGAGTCAACTGCCAATGTCAGCACCCATTCCCACTCACCTGGGATAGAGACTCCATGCTCTTCCCTAAATCACAGGGGCTGAGGCCTGGGAATGATATTTTCCAGAATTCCTTGCAGAAAGATTTCAAATTAGATTTAACCAATGGTGTGCACTAAGGTGTGATTAGAAAGTGGGCAGATAAGATCAGATGGGTTCAGGGTGGTGGGGAGAGATTTGTGAAAGGTTACAATATTATAACTAAATAGGAGGAAAATAAATCCTAGTGCTCTATATCACTGTAGGATGACTATAGTTAACAAAAATAAATACTTTCAAATAGCTGCAAGGAAGATCTGAGATGATGAATGTGCTAATGATCCTGATTTGATTGCTGTACATTATACATATAGAAACATTACTATGTACCCCATGAATATGTTCAATTAAAAATAGTTTTACAAAATAGTTAAAAAAAAAAGGAAAAGATCAGCTGAGGCAAAATCAATATTAATCGTTGTGGGCGGATACATGGGTTTTGGCCTTTGCTTGTAAGCTTCTGCAATGGCCTGCAGGTGTTATCCTCGAATGACCTGTCTCTTGCTGCTGGCAGTTGTTCTATCAGTGACCATTCTGTGACTTTTTTTCGGGGGGGTATAAAATGGCATATTCTTTATTTTGCATACTTTAATTTCAGAACAAAATGAACAAACTAAAAAAAATTCCACAATACACAACATCCAGTGCTGGTGTCAGAGTAGGGAGGAAATGGGGGCTTGACACCCTTGTTTCCTGCCTTCAACACAAGGACAGGACAGAAAGAAAACGCTAAACATCAGCAGCGGGAGCCAGGTGGGACAGGGGCACTCGAGGCTGCAGTTGGAGCCATGGGACACTATACAAGGGCATGAGTTTTCCAACTATGAACTCCTAATCGACTTCTTCCATGAGAGATGCATCCTCATCACCCTCAGGAGTGGGAAATCTCATCAGGAACCACAGCACTGGGCTCTTCTGCTGCCACTTCATCTTCATCGATACCCAGACCTAGCTTGATCATACAGTGGATGTGGTTGGAGTGGGTCAGGGGATCCTCAAGGGAAAAGCCGGAAGAGAGCAGGACGGTTTCAAACAGCAGCACCACCATGTCCTTGACTGCCTTGTCATTCTTGTCTGTCTCAGCTTTCTGTGACAGTGTCTCACAATGAGGTGGTCGGGGTTGATCTCTAGGTGCTTTTTGGTCATCATATAGCTCATGATGGAGTTGTCCCAAAGTGCCTGGCCTTTCATGATCCACACTATATTGGCTGTCCAGCCGTAGTTGCTGGTCACAATGCAGCAGCATCTCCTATTGGAGATTGTCACCTTCTCAACCTTCTTATCTAAGCTTTCTTTCATGAACTTGCAAAAGTTCTCAAACTTTGCCTTGCTCTCCTCCATTTTTTTCTTCTCCTCATCCTCAGGTAGCTCCAGACCCTCCTTGGTAACGGAGACCAGGCTCTTCCCATCAAACTCCTTGAGCTGCTGCACACAGTACGCGTCAATGGGCTCTCTCATATATACCACCTTGAAGCCCCTCTTTCGCACTCACTCCACGAAACCTGAGTTGGCCACCTGCTCTTTGCTCTCACCAGTGAAGTAATAGATGGACTTCTATGTCTCCTTCATGCGAGAAACATACTCTGACAGAGTTGTCGTCTCTTCTCCAGACTGGGAGGCGTGATAGCGCAGCAGCTCAGATAGGTGGCGTCGGTTAGTAGAGTCCTCGTGGATTCTAAGCTTGAGATTTTTAGAGAATGCCTCATAGAATTTCTTGTAATTCTTGTCTTCCACCAGCTCAGAGAAGAGCTCGAGGCACTTCTTAACAATGTTTCTGAGAATGACTTTCAAGATTTTGCTCTGCTAGAGCATTTCTTGGGAGATGTGCAGGGGCAGATCTCTAGAGTCAACCGCACCATGGATAAAGTTGAGATACACTGGTATCAGCTCATCACAGCTGTCCATGATGAACACACAATGGCCATGGAGTTTGATGTTGTTGTTTTTTCTTCTTGTTCTCAAAAACGTCAAAGGAAGCCCAGCAAGAAATGAATAGCAATGCCCTGAATTCCAACTGACCTTCTACAGCAATTGCTTGACTGCCAAGTGGTCTTCCCAGTCATTGGTGAAGCTCTTTTAGCATTCTCCATACTCCTCTTGGGTGATGTCATCAGGGTTTCTGGTTCAAATAGGCTTGGTCTTGTTTAGTTCTTCCTGATCAATGTATTTCTCTTTGATCTTCGTAGTTTTCTTCTGTCATCCTCCTCATTTGAACCCACATCTTCGATCCTGCGCTTTTCTTTATCATCTTTGTCTCCCTCTTCTTCTCACTTTTCTCTTCCTCTGCCTCATCATCACTAATTTCATTCTCTTGTTCCTTCTGCAAATAAAGGGTGATGGGATAGCCTATGAACTGAGAGTGCTTCTTCACGACTTCTTTGACCCACCTCTCTTCTAAGTACTCTGATCTTCTTTAAAGTGGAGGGTCACTTTGGTATCCCTGCCAATGGGCTCACCATGGTCAACATGCAAAGTGAAGGAGCCTCCAGCAGAAACCTCCCAGGCATACTGTTCGTCATTGTTGTGCTTTGCGATCACAACCGCTTTGTCTGCCACCAGGTATGCGGAATAAAACCCAACACCAAATTGCCCAATCATGGAGATGTCTGCACCAGCCTGAAGAGCCTCCATGAATGCTTTAGTAGCAGACTTGGCAATGGTTTCCAAATTATTTATGAGATCATAAATAATTCTTGGTGTTTTGAACAAAGAATTGGACAAAACACACAGGAAAGCAAGGAAAGAATGAAGCAACGAAAGCAGAGATTTACTGAAAATGAAAGTACATTCCATAGGGTAGGAGTAGGCCGATCAACAGCTCAAGGGCCCTGGTTACAGGATCTTCTGAGGTCCAAATACCCTCTAGAGGTTTTCCATTGGCCACTTGATGTACACCCCATGCAAATGAAGTAGTAGGCTGAGATCAGTCTGATTGATTGTGGAAAGCAACCAGTCAGAGGCTGAAGTGAAGTTATTAAGTTACACCCATGCAAAAGGTGTAAAGCAGCCAATTAGAGGCTAAATTGAAGTTACAAAGTTACACTCCTATGCAGATGAAGACTTGGCCCACAATCAGTCTTACTGGTTGTGGAAAGCACAGTTTTCCATCTGCCACACAGAAAAGGGATGGGGGTTGCAAAGAGAGTAGCCTCTGGTCCTTTTGTTACTTTGGCGTGAAAAGTTGGGTTTTTCCTTTCGGTTTAGTTCTAGGAAGTCAGCATGAATCAGTCTTAGGTTCCCTGCCTCCAGACCCTATTCTTCTGCCTCAACCATGGTACATGGAACAATCGGATACACTAACAATGTATTTCACTGTTTTGCTTTTACTGTTTGTCTCTCCCCACTGAATTCCATAAAGTTAGACATTTTGATCTGTTGTGTTCACTGCTATATCCTCAATAACTAAATTGTACTTGGCACCTAAAAGGCACTCAATAATACTTGTTGAACAATTGAACCCCACTACCCAAGATATAACCACAGCTAATTTGTTTTCTTTCCTTCTTATATAAATATATATTTAACAGTTTTATATGGAGGGAATCTTAGATTCTTGTTTTGTTTCTATTTTTATTTTACCCCCACTCAGCCTGAAGGAGTGTACCTCAAAGAGAAAGGAAATGAAGATGCTCATTATTTTTCAAGGACTTTAGCTGTGGAGTGGACGGGTGAGTGTAGCATGGTATCTAGCACTTGGATAGTCTTCTTGCCCTGTTTCTTGCTGGCTGGGCTCTTATGCTGGTGTCTGAAAAAAGAAAGATGCAACAATTAAAAAATAAAGCAAAACTACGCTTCGCTGAAATGCCTGAAAGATGTTGCTTAATGAGACAAAACCATACAGATATTTATTCTATCTTAGGAGACAGCGATCTGGCTTCTCCGGGTTGGGGTAAGCCACAGGGGCCTGAGTGTGAGCCAGGGGATCCAACGCCTGGAGCAGGAAGCGGCAGAGGGTGTCACCTGAGCGGGTCCAGCAGGGGAAGACAGCATGACAGGCTCTGTCCCACAGCCAAGAGGACTTGGTTTCCAAACAACAGCCTGTATGTTCTCAGGCACACAGGAGACACCCCGTGGAGACTTTCTGAATGGGTTGAGAGGAATTTAGGAGGCAGGGGCTCCCACAGAGCCTGACAGTCCTGTGTTTTCACTCTTATTGTGGACTCTATTTTGCTGTCAGGCTCGGGTGGCTTGAGAAGCCACAGATGATACCTTTGCTGCTGCTGCTGCTGCTGCTCCTACTGCAGTGGTTGCAGGTTCTGTTACCATGTCCCTTCCCCCACCTTGTGTCACCCCTGTTCTCCCACTAATATGCTACTATGGTACCTGTTAGTATGGCTGCTGCTGGGAACATATTATGCTAATTAGAGACTTGGTTCTTTTAAAGGTCTTTGTCAAAGTGGTATTATTGGGCTCTAATTTGTCAGTAAACATAAATCCCAACTGGAGGTCTGAAATCTTATGGCAACATATTTTGTCCAAATAATCCAGATGACTGAGAACAGCCCTGTCTGATAGGACTTTCTGCACTGAGGGGAGTGTGGCTGCTGAGCTCTTGAATTGTAGCTAATGGGATAGAACTGGAATTTAAACTTCATTTATAACTAATTTTAATTAATATGAATTTAAAATGTTAGTATCCCCATGTGGTAGTGCAAATCTAAAATATACATTTATGTTTTAAAGGCTATAATCTAAAAGAAAGCACAGAATTTAATGCAAATGTAGTCCTTGGAGGACAGTCATCTAGGTGACCTCTGGCTTGAGACCTTCTGTACCTTTGCTCTCGTGGCACTCACCATGTGATGATTTTGGTGGCTAATCCTTGATATTTAGGAAAGGGATGCTTTTGTCTCATTCCAGTAACAAGATAAGCTTATTTACAAATTAAGAAAATGACCGCAATGGAATCCCAGCACTTTGGGAGGCCTAGGTGGATGGATCACTTGGGGCCAGGAGTTCAAGACCAGCCTGGGCAACATGGAAAAACCTGGTTTCTACAAAAAATACAAACATTAGCCATGCATGGTGACTTGAGCCTGTTGTCCCAGCTACTTGGGAGGCTGAAGTGGGAAGATTACTTGAGCCGAGGAGGTTGAGGTGGCAGTGAGCTGTGATTGTGCCACTGCACTCTAGCCTGGGCAACAAAGCAAGACCCTGTTAAAAAAAAAAAAAAAAGTGACCACGGGATAAAGAAATTGTTATTAGACAAGGTTCTCCAGAGAACAGAACCAATGAGCCCCCCCCAACACACACTCACAGATTTATTATGAGGTTGGCTCACATGATGAGGGATACTGAGAAGTCCTGTGTCTGCTGTCTGCATGCTGGAGACCCAGGAAAAGCTAGTGGTGCAGTTCCAGTCTGAGTCTAAAGGCCTGAAAACCAGAGAAGTCAATGGTGTAAGTTTTAGTCCAAGAGCCGGAGCAGACGCACATCCAAACTCAGTCAGGAAGCAAAGGAGGTAAATTCCTCTTTCTTCTGCCTTTTTGTTATCAACACATTGGATGATACCAGCGCACACTGGGGAGGGCAGTCTACCTTATTGATCCACCAATTTAAATGCCAGACTCATCCAGAAACCCCCCCACAGGCACACCCAAAAGCAACGTTTAATCTGGGCACCCCATGGTGCAGACAAGTTGACAGAGTTAACTTTCATACCATCCATCTAGTGTATCAGCAAGAGATGGATTCTCTGGATGTGCTGAACCAGTTGCTAGACCTCGAAGACTGATGACCAGAGCTGGGATTGTGATGCATTCCAGAAGGAGATGCCCCATGAGGGCCCAAAACTGGCTGGTCACCCTCTTATGTCACCTTGTCTTTAATCCCTATAACTGCTTTTCAAAACAATCAGTGATAATCACTCTACCTAAGAAGTCAGGTACTGCATATTGTATTGCCACTTTAGCCCAGGCATTCTGCCAGGTGTTTCACTGTGTGGCACTTTATTTTTTATTTAATTCAAATTTGCAATGAGCAGTAATTTAATTTTACCCTTATTGTATACACGAGTCAGCTGAGCCATTCTGCTCTGGTCTCCTAGCTAGAATGGGGCACTTGGCCTTGAACTTGGGACTCTGGTTCCCAAAGACAGCATTCTTCTGTGCCACCTTGCCACCAAAGGTGTGCTGAAGGTAGCTTCAGGAAGTCAGGAAATGTAGTTTTATGCACTTGCATTGAAATGAATGAACTCTTCTTAAGCAACAAAGTATAAACTACCATAGTTCCCCTAATAGCATACACCCCACTTAGGTTTTGGGCTTCCATTTTATAGAGCATATGTTTAAAATGAGATCCCCTGCAGAGTCCTCTTGTGAGCACTTTCATTATCTTTGAGAAATTTGTCAAAAGACACTTGTTTCTACCAGGCTCTTGTTTACAAAGAAACCCTTTGTTGTTCACAGAGGCCCTCCAGTTGCAGGACTGGGGAAAAACCACAGCATTTTCTGGATAGTCTTGAGTGAGCAGAAGTGGGTCCTCTGGGAACACAGGTTACATTTTGTCTTGGACTTTGCTCAGCTGTCAGCATGTCAGAGCAATGATGCTGCCTTTTGCAGCTGTGCAATAAAAGAGACACAAACCAGATATTTGATAGGACTAGAGGTAAGGGAACAGAGTGGTTGATGTTTTCCCAGCAGTCCTGGCTCCAGGAATTGTGGGTGGGTTACTGACAATAAACAGAGAACGTGGCTGAGAATAGGCATTCCCAGAGCATCCAATGTGATGTTTGTATTTTGAAGACATGATCAAGCCACGTTGATCTTCGGTCTGTGGAGAAGCCTGATATGGGAATAGATCTGTGAACAAAAGGTTTGGCTGTGTCTCCACCCAAATCTCATCTTGAATTGTAGCTCCCATAATTCCCATGTGTTGTGGGAGGAACTCGATGGGAGATAATTGAATCATGGGGGAAGTTCCCCCTTATTGTTCACATGGTAGTAAATAAGTCTCACGAGATCTGATGGCTTTAGTTTCCCCTTTGCTTGGCTCTCATTTCTCTCTTTGCTGGCCACCATGTAAGACATCCCTTTGTTCTTCCTTCCTCTTCTGCCATGATTGTGGGGCCTCCCCAGCCATGTGGAACTGCGAGTAAATTAAACCTCTTTCCTTTATAAATTGCCCAGTTTTGGGTATGTTTTTATCAGCAGTGTGAAAATGGACTAATAAAAAGCCCTCCTGTGATGCGCTGTGTGATCACATTCTTTTGAGCTTCCTCTGAACAGATTCAGGATAGTGCCCTCAAACGTGCTTCTAACTCAGATTTTACTCAGCAGCCATTTGGATCTGAGAGGAGTTTTCCTAATTTCCCAAGAGGCCTGCCTGGCAGAGTGAGTTGTGGTGGGGAGGGTGTGCATTTTGGAGTTGGGCAAACCTGTCCATCCTGTCAATGTCCTTGTTTAGCCCTGTGACTTTGGGGAAGTCGTTTCTCCCCCAGCTTTACTGAGGTGTTATTGACAAATAAAAATTGTATATATTTAAAGTGTATAATGATTCGATATATGTAAACATTGTAAAATAATTATCAGGATCAAGCTACTTAACACATACATCACCATTTTTGGTGTATGTTATGAGAATGCTTAATATCCACTCTCCTAGCAAATCATAAGTGTACAGTACAACATTGTTAACTATAGTCCTGCTGTACATTATAGTTATGCTGTACATTAGATCCTCAGAACTTACTCA